TGTTTCTCACTATGTCATTTGTGAAGTGGTAAAAATTATACTGACCATTTCACTGGAAAAGCCAAAAGAGCAATGAATCAAAATGAAAAATATGCAATTGTAGTACTTTGGTTTTCCTAGCTGTGGGTTAACTATTCTCTAATAATTTTTCCTTATTATTTCTCTCCTACAAACAAGTTCTATCACTTTTTATTTGACAGTCTTACTCTTCATAGCCATGAAGCTATTTAGGGACTACTTCTCTCATATGTAGATTGTTTTTATAACTTCTCCTCTCTTTTCTTCTTTAGTTGTATACAATACCTTTATTTTGTTTATTTATTTTTATGTGGTGCTGCGGCTCGAACCCAGAGCCTTACACATGCTAGGCAAGTGCTCTACCACTGAGCCACAACCCCAGCCCACCTCTCTTTTCTTTCCTGTCCTGAAAAAAAAAAGTCTTCTCCTATTATCCATATCGACTAACATTTTTCTCTTGTCAATTCACTCTCACCTGTAGAATGTACATCTAATTGCTCCATATTGCCAATCAAATACAAATGATACTGGTGGGTTCCAAAGCTCTCCCGTGGTCTTTAACCTGTTCCTCAAGGTTATTTCCCATTATGTTCTGACTTCTAAGAAACAAGTGCTGTATTTCTATTATTCTTTGCACACCTCTCCTTTGCTTATTCTGTTATGATACTTTAATAAGAGGCTATTGTGCTATGTTAAGTTCTAGGTTATAAATATAAATAAACATCATCTTGATCCTCAAGGTTTGGTTGAGATAGCAGATGACAGGCAGAAGCAATATCGAGTGATAAGTGCAGTAACAATTATTAATGTTATAGAGTGCTAAAGAGAGGAATAAATATGAAGACAAATTTACAATGTCATTTCATTACTAAAACAAGGCGATATTACAGTTTGCAAGTTCCATGAAAGTACAGACCTTTCTTATTATTATGTAGGTCCTTCAAAAGTACAGGGTGAATAAATGCACACCGAAAGCATAACCCTGAAATTTCATTCTATGAAGGGGGTGATAGAAGTGGGTTTGTTTTTCTAAGTGCAAAACCACCATTTTGTTGAAGCTGTACTGGAGTAAGAATAAGAAAACCTGAAAAAAAAGAAAAAGAAAAAGAAAAGAAAACCTGGACTTTGGTCCTGGCTCATGTCTAACAAGTCAATTGACTTAGAACATCTCACTAGTTGACATCCACTTCTTCTCTCAAATGAGTAAGTTGGGCTAAATGTCTCCAACTTCTTCTGCTCTTTCGATCTATAACTCTCCGTGTCAGCATTCATTCATTACTTCACTGGACACATATTAATCGAACCTAGAGTCTGTGTGGTGCTAGATCTTGTGATTTGTTTATGTCACAGACATTCAAATCTCATCCTTTCTCACTGGAGCTGGATGCTCTGACGGCTAGAATCAACAAAAGTGCTAACCACCTAAGGGTAGCAGACTGTGATTTACTTTCTCACTTCTTTAACCGTGGAGACACAGGCATGGACAAGAGAAGCTGCAGCTCTTTGAGCATTCCCCTGGTCACACGGGCAGGCAGGAATCCACATCACACTTGGCATATTTGTTGATAGTGAGTCTGCGGAGTGACTGAGTGAAGATTGAGACTGAGCTAACCTGACAGCTTGAGAGCTTAAAAGCATCGATTAGGGAATGCACAAGAATTTGACCTTCCCGGGCCTCCCTGTTTTGGTTTTGGTTTCTATAATAAGAGAGAGAGAGAGAGAGAGAGAGAGAGAGAGAGAGAGAGAGAGAGAGAGAGAGGTGGGGGGGGGGTGGAGAAGAAACTATTCTTTCCTGGTTTGCATGATTATTCTGTCAAAACAGTAAGGGACATGAATTAATAACTACCTTTGAGCATAATTTTAAGACTCTTACACAGGAGGGGCTTAACTGACAAACAGTCGAGGGATTGCATTCCATGTGTGTCCGCAGCACACACTACTATATTAATCAGCCTTAGAAGAATCAATTTCCCGTGAGACAGGAGCACAGATGCATCTTGTTTGTACTTATCAGCCCAATGGCAGATATTCACATTGCACTTTTTAATTAGGTGATAAAGCAGCCTCACATATATGGTAGTGGTGCTAATGAAAATTTACATAAGGAACTAAAGAAAATTCAATAGATGTGAAGATTACCATTTTGCACTTTTTTATTTCTATTTGTGGTAATAAAAAAGTGTGAATTGAAAATCTAAAGAAAAATAATAGTTGATTTACTTTTAAAAGAGAATAATACTAAATAAGAACTCCTCATGAACACAAAAAGGTATCTGAATATTTCATTTTGACAGTATGTAACAATGACAGAGTCCTCATATTTATCTCTCCTAACTCCAGAGTCATGATTAATGGACTATAAAATGTTTACCAATAAATGCTAAGTTTGCTTATCTGTTCTTTTTAATAATTAAATTTTTATTGTATAAAGGAAATACCTTCAGCTTTCTGTTCCATATTGTAGACATAAACATGAAAGAAGAAATAATCTTCAAGGAAAAGAAATAAAGGTTTTATGCACTTTGTCATTATTTCACCACTTAGAGTTTTTTGGACATCATTTATAATTGGCAAAGTTTATCCAATTTGCTGCAATCAGTTGACTGCTCTTAAAATCTCAAGCATCTAAATTCTCTCTTGAACTTAATACTCTTCTATTTTCTATTTCTTGTTAAATATACTTCAGATTATGTGACACTTTTATTTTATTTTATTTATTGAGAATGTTTACAACTTTATTTAATTTTTAGGTAAAAATAAACAATATAAATAATATAATTCATAAGGTAGCAAAGGGAATATTTCAATAAAAACATTTCTTATTGAGTGTAACTTAAATACTCTTGCAATAGATTGCTATGATAATATATATGAATATTCCTAAACTTATATGAACATTAGTAACAAAAATTTGCGAATTCTATGAAATAGTTTCTGATTAATTATTTTATTTGTTTATTAATTTTATTGGTATATTCATTATTTAATGTATTATTTTATTGAGGCTATGATCAATTGTTTATTGATAAATAATTAATATTAATGTTAATATTATAATATAATTATACCTTCCAAAATATCATAATTCTATAAAGAATAATTGCAGTTTATTATTATTTTATTTCTTTACTTATTTATTTATTTGCAGTTCTGGGGACTAAGCCTTCATACATGCTAGGAAACTGTTCTACCACTGAGCTACAACCCCATCCCCATTTTTTATTTCAATTTTATATTGTATCCCTAATTCATTAGCACAATATCTGATAATTTTATATTTAAAAAACATTTAATCAGTATTTAGAATCATTATCTTAACCAAATCATATTGGAGTAGCCATATGTTTGATTATATTCCCATTGTAAAAAAGTGTTTCAATGATAGCAAAACAATATTAATACATAAATATTTTTATTTTATAAAGTTCAAAAAATATGACAATTTATTTCATTATTTTAAAACCAGAACCTCTTTTCTCCAAAAGAAAAGAGAGTTGAAGGCCATTGATTGATTCTTTTTATGTCAGCCATCTGTCTGAAACTTTGATAATTTGGCTGCTTTCTATTATTACTGAAACATAAATTATAGATATTTCATATATAAACATGTAAGAAAATAAGTGACTTACGATCAATGATTCATCAATTTTACAAAAGCATGTGAGCCATTGAGTAATCATCATTTATGGGATATAATGCTTTGCATTTATAAAACCATCTTTTAATGTGACTCCACACACTCATAAAAAATTGTTTCTATTTGTCTAAGTTGTATTCCAAAAACCAAGCAACTTATCTGAAGGGAAGAGAATTAACGTGAGCAGTTCAATGTAAACACAAGTGGCGAGTGTCTACTGGATAAATCAGCAGAATATGGCATGACTTAGCAGAGCAGTCAGTTTAAAACACATTTCAAAATATGATAGTGGAAAAGAACAAACCCTACACAGGATCTGAGGGAATGTGTCATATCTTATTCTTTGTATGCTCTAGAGCAGGTAGATTGCCTTACACATAGCAGATGCTCAATAAAAATGTCAAAAGACTTCCTGACTGTGAAGATATAGTCAAATGAAACATGATTTATGGAAAAAGAAGAAACAATCTTAATGAGGAGGAGAGAGGTAGTAAAAATTCTGTTTTTGCAGTAATTTCTCATTAATGATGATACTACTTCTCTAGAGACTGCTTAGCAGGGGAACATCTGATCTGCTCTCTGTAGCCAGCTTATTGATTGTGTGGGTCGATATAATCTGATGCATAAAGAACTAGGAGAGTGGGAGGCAGCATTTTCCTGGCTAACTGCTAAGAAGCAGATAGTTTACACTTGATGCATCCAAGCTGAGTGGCCCCACGTGAAGTTGAATTATCGGTAAAAGAAATCCTAAAATTGACAATTCTCTTTATTAGTAGGTCTAATGTTAGTGAAAAATTAGTAAGATTTAAAGAAAAGTGAAGATATGCTAAGGAGACACTAAATCTTATGGGCACTAGGGAAAACTTTGCTTTTCCTTTTTTGTATGTACTGTATTTTGAACATACAGATTAGAATCTAGTTACAGGGTCTTAGATTATCTTGATTCTTGGTTTCTATGTCCCAAATACTCAGTGCTAACCATTTTTTGATAGTATTTTTTAAATTAAATTATTTGAGTGCTAACCATTTTACTGCTAGTTAGTATATATGCTGCAAACTAGTCAAATCTTTGGCATGGGGAGCACACCAACAATATAACAGCATCCTCAATGCAAAACTTTCAAACTGATCAAACAAATAACCCAGGAATAGAAATAAAAACATTTGATATGTAATACAAATAAAAATATTGTTGAAGAAGAGAATGAGGCTATTATTGGATAGGAAAACAGCTTGTGTTTAAATGTCAGTTTTAATATGTCTGGCAGATTTCCCAACACATATTAGATAGTCACAAATTGCTAGTTTCTTTCCCTCTACCCCAGGAGAGAATATTAAATGTTACCTGCCAGAGAGGGTCTTTTTGCTCAGGAAAGAGCTCAAAGTACTTGTGAGCCAGTTGCACTGGAGGCAGAGTTTGCAGCTTCAGGTTGGTCCAGCTGTGCACGAAGTTGGCCAAGTTCACAAAGGTATACAACCCCAGACGATCATTTCCATAGTTAGATAAATGGGTCATGAAAATACTGATCTGAAAGATAGATAAAAATGACTACATAATATCATCTGCTTAAGCTCAAAAGTGGCAGCAAAATCTCCAGGAAGCATGTCACCTTACCTTGGAATTTCATGGGAAGTACAATTATCTTTTTATAGGGAAGGACCCACATTTAATTTCTCCATCAAACTAACACTTAAATTCACTCTTAAAGTTGTTATTGAGATTGGCATTCCCTCTCTGCTTATCCAAAGTATAGTGTAAATTTTCAATATCAGTTTTTTCCCTGTTATGGAATCAGTATCATCAAATCATCAAATCAAGTAATTTTCAAACTACTGAAGCATCAGAATCAGATCAGTTCTAAAATTAAAACATTGGTTTAGCTATTTTCTGATGTAGATACACACACACACACAAACACACACAGAGTTTGAAATAGAATCAGACTTCAGTATACTTGTTTATTATCTAATGGAGATTTTTTAGTGCAATAAAGGATTTTGATTGCTTTCTGCATAAAGAAATGATAAATGCTTGAGGAAATACCTGATTTGCATATTATGCAATATATATTTGTTGCACCATCACATAGTACCCCAGTAATATGTTCAATTTTTATGTTTTAATGTATCAGTTAAAAATTTAATTTCATAAAACTAATAATGTTTGCACAGAAATTGATTACATTTATCCATACTCACTAATCTTCTTACAATTTTTTATTATTTTTTAAATTTTTTATTGTTGGTTGTTCAAAACATTACATAGTTCTTGACATATCATATTTCACACTTTGATTCAAGTGGGTTATGAACTCCCATTTTTACCCCGTATACAGATTGCAGAATCATATCAGTTACACATCCATTGATTTACATGTTGCCATACTAGTGTCTGTTGTATTCTGCTGCCTTTCCTATCCTCTACTATCCCCCCTCCCCTCCCCTTCCCTCCCCTCTTCTCTCTCTACCCCCTCTACTTCTTACAATTTTTTAAACCTCAATGTTAACTCTAAAATTATATGGCATTTCAGTTACTGTTGTTCTTTTGTGTATATAAACTAAGGAAAATGAAATATAGATTGTTCTGGAGAGACCAACCAAAATTCTGAATGTAATTATAGTGATAATCTAATTTACAATCTATCAGGCATTGTAACAGGAATTAAAAATACCAAATAAAGGAGAATGACATAATTTTGATCTAAATTGCAGAGATTACTTCTGCAGCTCATTAAAAAAGAGCTCTTTTTCTGTAACAATATTTTGTATTTGTTCCTACATGTCAAGTTATTTTAAAATACAAATAGTTTAAAAGTAAATTTACTACCAATTATATAAATCTATAAACTTTCAAAGCAATCAATGTAATAGAATAAAGTACTTCATTAATTTATTTAATAAAACAGGAAAATAAAATGTTACAATTAATAATAGTAGAATAAATGCAAAATTTGAAATTGAACAGTAAATATTGAAGAAAAGTCAAGTGTCTCAAAAGCTAAGGTTTGGTAATATTGTTCACATACATTCTTTTAAGAGAGTATGTTGCTGGATGTGGTTATTTTGGGTTATTTGGAAATAAAAATGGGTATGCAGTGCCATTACAATACCATTTTTTGTTGCAGACCCGGCTGGCTACTCTCTGCAGTAAAGGTTATACTGATGACCTTCAGTTCAGAAGATATGTCACTGTATAACTGCAAATGCCCAGAGAAGAGACCTTTTGTTTCAAAATAAAAAAAAAAACATTACTTTGCACCAGAATTCAATAAACAATACTCTGGAAAGGAATTATAAGTAAAAGATACCAAGTTCCTTCCTTGAATGCCCTTTTAGTTTGGAAAAGGCAGTGTTTTTCCATATGTCATACTAGAATACTGAAAAGAATTCTCTGAGGAAAACCTCTTGAAATTATCAGATTCACTCCCCATTATAGTTGAAAGCAAAAAAGAGAAGATGAGAACATGACCCTTCACCCTTAGTTTTTCAGAATTACAAAATGAATATCTAAAGTTTACAAAGCATTTACTATGTCCTAGGTATGATTCTAAGCCCTTTACATATATGAAGAATTAAATCTTTACCATGCTCTTACAACGGAGGTCCTGCTATTGTCCCCTTCACAGATGAAGAAACAGACTCAGAGCAGTTAAATAACTCCTTGAAGTCCACAACTAGAGAGCATCAGCACAGGAATTCAAACTCAGGAAGCCAGATTCCTGCTTCCAACACAGGATATGCCTGAGACCTTCCACCCAAGCATATTCATATATAGAATCTGACACCCATCATTTTTTCCCTTTCTCCATTACAAAAAAGATAAAGTACATATTTCTATAGAAGACAGTGAAAAAACGATGAAAGTATTATCTTGGCAACTTATAGTTTTTCTTTCTTCTTTGAAATAGAATGACAAAAGATACATTATTTTTTGGAATCCTGAATGAAAAATTCTTTCTTTTGGGGGGTGGTGGGCAAGGCAACCTTTACATCTGCAGAAGGGCTACTATGGAAACTGACCCCTAAATTAAAACTTTTAAGACAATGAATTATAGTATTTGAAAACAATGCTACCAATAGATTCAGAATTTATCTTTGGATATAATATCATTTCTGTCATATTTCTTGTCCACTTTTTCCCTTGGGTATATTCAAAATTTATACTTGCAGATCATAAAAGAGAGACTATATTGAAGAATATTCTTTATATAGTTTGTTTAGGTAGAAGTTTACATTGACTCTCCCAAATGTTAGATGATATAATAATATTACTTGAGATTCATATGGGATCATTTGAACAAGCTCGAGTTATCTGTCATACGTTTTTGCATTGGCCATTCTCTCACCCTTTAGCTCTTTTATCTCGAATAGGAAATGTTCTCTTGGCAGGACTTAATTAGAGTTTCTAGAACATAACAGTATCAGTAGTTGATGACCATATAATTGCAATTGTTGTCATGAGAACTTCTTTATAATCACCACAAAATAATATGCATTTGATCCCAATAAGTATGCATTTATCTCATGTCACTACTGTAATTAAGAAATCAGACAGTGTAAGTAGTGTGCTTCAAGATAATTATAGTTTCCCAGGACTGAAATTATTATGAAAAAAAAACAGGCTACAGGCTGAGTGCCTAAAGAAATATAACATGTCCTAGAAATCTACCACCTGCCCTCTAGTGCTGTTATTTTAAGATGGAATTTTAAAGCTCTGGTGAACACCTAAAGTCTGACAAAATTATTATTAAAAAATCTACTTTGAGAGTATTGTAAAGATTATTTTTAGATGACAGGCAAATACATGTGATCATTTCATTGAGGTATTAACGTAATTAAAAGATTTTTGTAGTGGACTAGTTCTAAGTAATTTTTCCAGAATTTTCTATAGGAGACTAAGCTTTGTTTTTATGAAGGATGTATAAAACTTAATGCAGGGCAAATAGAAAATCTGACTGTGGAAGGAAGCAGAGTCTGGAGATGTTATGTGGTTCTAAGCTGAGGCATGCTTGTGCAATTAAATTTCCCTTTGCTGAAAATAAAAAGAAGCACCCTGGACACTACAGTTGCAATCACTGTTGTATGGGGCAGCATGTGCACATGCCTTGCTGGTTAGAAACAAATTAGTGCTGGTATATGGTCAATTGACTGCACTTTAAGAAAAACAATTCTGCAGGCACAGCTTAACTGTGCATATCTGGCTTGCTAAAAGCACCTATTGTGCAGACAGAGCATTTTAGTTTTAGTATTTCTGGACAACTGACTTGTTTTAAAGAAAAAAAATATTCTGAAGAGTGTAGGGAGAATAAGATAAATTAAGAATGCATGTGGTTTGAGGCCTACATAAAGGAAGTCAAACGATATGCAGTAGGATATAGCAGCAATTTTCCACAAATTTATAATATATTGCTACTATTTTAACATGATGGTGCATCTTCTACTTATCCTGTCCTTTTGTTTACTTATTTTGTTTATTATTTCATTGCTATATGTTAAGAATACTTTTACTTAATAATCCCAAAATATCATTTAGAGAAAATATGAGAGTACTGCATGGGTGCAAATTGTTCATATGCGCAACTCATTGTACCTTGAAATATTCCTGCTCAGAGATATGAATTGATTCATATAATGAGAGTTATCTCTCAGAGGACAAAAGGAGACAAGGACATCTTGTTCAATGGATGACTTTAAGAATGAAACATAAAATGCTAACATCAACAGTCAGTTGCAGGGGGTTCCCAAGGGGCCTGGAGGTCTGGGTGACATTACTTCTGTCACCAAGCATACCCTTAGGTTGCCTAATCTTGTTCTTGGCACTTCCATGGGTGTTTCTCTTTCAACTCTCAAGGCTGTCAACTCCCTTATGGTCAAACATAAAACAAGCCTTAATTCTTCCTTTTGTCTACAGCAATAATATAAAAATAAGTTGGTAAGCTTCTTGTCAACTAATTATTCATTAAAAACAACATTTTTTGTTAACATGATTGCCAACCAAAATATTATAGTTGAGCCATAATATTTATGCATAAGCCAAATTTGAGAAGATATGATCTGTGGAATAAATCCATTGTGGAATAAAATCATTTGTTGATTCAAGGAAAATGGTGCTTTCAAATATGGTAATGTATAAATCTTGATGATAGAGGGTTTGGTAAATATAAATGAACTCTGGACAATTATTAAGTGAGGGGAAAACACTGTCATAGTGACAAACAGGATACTGCTGCATTAATGCAGGCAAGTGGCTCTCATGCCAAGTTTTTAATTCCAAGCTACACAATTAGTGACTAATAATGGTTTACTTTTGTCTCTTTTATGAAGTGGCTAATATCCAAAATACATGAAGAAGAAAATAAAAAACAGGAAAACTAAAATAAAAATTAAAGATCTTATTTTTTTCTGTAAAATTAAGCATCTAGGTTGAGTTCAGATATATTCAACTCTAGGTTGAGTTCAGATATATTCACTGTCAGTGCCAGAATAGTTTTCTTGCTTTTCTTACTTGTATAACAAATACAATGTCAT